AGCTGGCCAGGGAAGCCCTTGGGTGCCGCTGGCCCGGCCGCTGCCCTCACCGGGGCGGGCTGCTCTGTGGAGGAAACAAACGTCCACAGGGCCACGGACTCACAGCGCCAGGAACTTCACCTCCTGAACTGCTGCTATGACAATCCTGTTTGCTCAGTCTTAGCGACTGAAGCCAACCATAACCAAGAAAAACAGCAGGATTATCCCCCAGCACCTGTTCCCACTGAACGGATTATCAGAGCTGGCCACGCCGGGTGACGTCCTCTAGGTATCGCCACGAAAGCAGTCTGAGCGACACGGCAACTCCCTCCCACCCCTCCGGGATGCCCCTTTCCCAGGTATTTTCAGCACAGCAGCTGGAGGCTCCTCACAGGTCAGTCCATGGGGATACAAGCATCAGTGTTCGCACATCTCCAGCACAGGGACTTTGTCCCTTCCAACCCTTGCAATTCTGTGATTCGGTGATTCTGTGATTCTGTGAAGTGTTGTCAAGCATTGGAACAGGCTGCCCAGGGCAGTGGTCAAGTCCCCATCCCTGGAGGTATTTAAAAGACAGGTAGATGAGGTGCTTAGGGACATGGTTTAGTGGTGGACAGGTATGGTTGGACTCAATGATCTCAAAGGTCTTTTCCAGCCAAACGGTTCTATGACACGATGATAATGACTTGCTCTCCAAATTCCATCATCTCTTGTTTGACTGTAACGGGGAGGCCGTGTGAGAAGTATGGACTGCAAGCTGCGGGGCCCAGCAGATAGACAGCAGCTTTAAAGCACTTTAAACCAAGTTGGTTTTCCTGCTTGCCATTCCTCGTACTTTTGCTGTTCAAGCACAGGATCTGCCCCCCTCACCTCACAACATTTCAAGGGCTCCGTTGTGCTGCATTTGCATCCACAATACAATGGCAGCTGATGTAAGAGCTATTTTACTGCAGAATGAAAATGTTTGCAGAAAAAGAGATCTTCCTCGGAGCTGTTTACGTGGGAAAGCAGGAAAACCAGAGAAGGTCCAGAGAAATTTTGGAGGGACTCAGCTCAGCAATGGTTGGGTGGCTCAGACAACAGGAACGCCACCCTCCTGTAGATGGAGGACTTCTGTTAAACCTCACCTTCCAGACATGAAATCTGTCCCCCTGTGCCCTCTTGGCTTTCTCTGAGGAGTGCCTTGAATATCAAGGTTAGCTCAATTGCCATGAAGTTGCCAGCAGGCTTTGCAGCAGCGCCGAGGGCTGGTTCTGCCACTGGTCTCGAAATCTGAAAAAGAGCCTTTGGAAGAGAGGAGGGATGCTCTGGAGGGGAGGAGGTGGCTGCCATCTTCATACTGGTGAGCATGATTTAAGTGAGGGAGTTTGAGTATAAAAGAAGTCCCATGTGCCACTGGAGCCCCGGGGACAGGTCCCTCTGGTCCTGGGCTGTTGCACAAACATGGAATTCCCTGAAGCCATGCTAAGGTCATCATGCTGCAGTGGCAGCACACAGGCCTGGGTGCTCGGGCTGTTACCAGGCACGTTTGCTCCCATTGTTCCAGCATGAGATCAAGTGTCCTGAGCCTCTTCAAGACAGGGCATCTCCCAGTGGTGGTAAATTTTAGTGCGCCATGGAGCTGCAAGGAAGGCATCTGAATGGTGCAGAGGGTTACTGCAACTGCCCCAAGGCCTCCATGACACCTGCTAACTCTTCTCTCCATCATTCTTCTCAAGAGCATCCTCCCATCCCTTAAGCAGAGGCCTTGGTGAATGAGTTACTGCAGCCTCAGATGTTTTTTCTATAATGGAATGTAACATTAAACTAAACACTGGAGGATGGAGACAAACAAAGCAAAAAAATCAGGGGAATAATCCTTAGCTTGTAATGAATTTTGCAAAACATGGTCAAAATTAGGTTTCATTGGAACAAAAATGTATTTATCATATCTGTCAACACTGAAAAATTATGTTTAAATTAAAACTTTATTTTAAATCCTGATGATGACCTAGAAGTGGCATAATATTTATAAATAGCTTATCATACACCACAGCATAAAAAGTAAATTTATCCTCTTTCTATTGAGTCAAATTCATTGTTATATATGAGATGGGAATTAGTTTTACCCTTCCAACTATCAAAACAGAGAAAAATTAAAGCCACGGGGAGGAGAGCAGCAATAGCCCACAGGTCAGATTCTCCTGTGGAAAGGACCATAGGAAAATGGCCCCCGTTGGAAAAGGCCATCCCGATGCTGAAGCTTGTCTGGATCTGGGCCGAGACCAGGTGGTACCAAGCAGCAGAGCCTTTTGATCCCCACAGTTGTGCCCAGGATTTCAACCTCTGATGTGCTTTTAAAGCTGTTCTCAAGCCCTGAGCCAGCCGGGCCCCCATTTTAACTCAGTTATGCTGTGGATAGGTGGCTCTTTCCAAAGTCTTCACCCTGTTGTTTTTGGCTACGGCTTTGACAGCACAGCACGACTGCAGACGACTTCTTGTGCCAGCTCAGCTTCAAAGCAAGAAATGTCTTGTGGTGGTGGCCCCGATACCAAGTACAACGCGCTGCAAAGGCTCTTCTGACAAGGCTGAATAACGCCTTGTATAAATTGGGCATACAACTAACTATGCGGCCGTTTTACCCGGCCAGGAACCTCCGCGGGGCCGATGATGCTGGTGCCCCTCCTGCGCACTTGCCATGCCCCCGGTGCATCCCAGTGGCTCAGGTGCTGTGCTCAGCTACCAAGGGGTAGATCCAACCTGGGTTTTTAGGGGTGCTATCTGAGATCTCAAGCAGCCCGACTGCAGCGGTGAGGATGCCTCTGCCAGAGAGGACCAGCAGCTGTCAGGTGGCAAGGGCTGATATCCCCTCCTCCCCAACCCAATAGCTGGGATTAAGGGGACCTCCTACAAAATCTCCTTTTTACCAGAGCGGGGATCAGAAACATTCTCCTTGGATGTTTCAGTCTTTGAACCTCAGCTAGAGGAGACTGCATTCCTTTATCTGGGCTTCATTAATATCCCATAAACAAAGGCAAATGTTCTCCTTTCTTGGGATGAAGCAGAGTCAGCATGCTCTGCTCTGGTCATGGCTGTGGCCACAGCCCAGATGGCTACGTAGGTGGGGGATGGAGGCAATGGGCTGCGGTACAGCAGCACAAGTGCAGCCCATGGGGATGCTGGCTGTAGACCATGCAGCAACCCAGGCCTGCTGCTCCTGCGTGCGACGCAGAGACTGCCGCTGAAGGAGGTGACTGTGGGTAATGCCACGAAACCGCCCGGAGAGGGGAGATGGGAAGCTGGTGGGCAGAGCTGAGCCCTGGGTGGGGGGAGGCTCCGAGCGGCAGCGGCTGGGAGCCAAGCGGTGACATGGGGAGATAAGGCTCTTGATGGATGGACCTCAGATGTTTGAAGGTTTTTGGTCTATTTGGATAAGCAGTCAAATATTCACACAGATAAGCTTCAGAAATGCATCTGATCTGAAGCCCTTTGTATCTTAAAAGGCAAGGCTGGAAATAGAATAAGATAATTCCTCTGGGGCTCTGGTGGCTCCTGGGTTTTCCTTCACCAGCACCAGGCTGTCCAGACCTGCCCATGCAAGCAAACCAACAGTCAGGACAGCTCTGACAGCCAGACCCTCCCCGAACCTCAGGCATTCAACTGTGCCTAGGTACCAACCTTACTCACAGCCCAGGAGATGGGGCAGATGGTCCTTCGCTTGGTCACTCTCTGCATTTTGCCATCTTGGTCCATCCAGCTGCTATGGGTGGTTTAAAACATTGTTAAGATAATGGCCTCACTAGCGTTTGTGTCTATTTTAACATATCCATTGGCACAGAGTTTATGTAACGCTGCCTGGTGCCTCTTCACCAGCAGAGTTACACCCACATCGAGCATCTCGTTGCGTGCAAAGGTCTGCAATAACCTGCTGGTGAACGGCTGCTGGTGGCAGGACCAGGCAGCAGCACAGACAATCTTGGCAGGCGCCTGCCCTCCTTGTGCACCATGCTTGGACCTAGATGAGGGCTGCAGGCGGCACCGAAGAGGGCCAGCAATTATACTGCAACTTTAAATTGCAGTACTTGAGTGAAATGCTTTTGGAGAGTGCATCATTTCCTTGGAAATAATTTATAACGTTGTACTTTACTCCAGCGAGTTTCCTTGTACCATAAGTTGTTTAAACAGTTTCTCATTATGCGTTTCCCATTTGGACATAAAACAGAGCAGAAAGCCTGAGGCACCAAGGCTGGTAGGAAAACGGAAATCCTGCTGCGACCATCCGAGGGGGCAGAGAGCAGCTCCCCGGCTCTGGGTGGGCACTGGCCTACCTGGTGAAGGTTTGGGGCAGGAAGCGCAGGACCAGCAGCCGTTTCTGGCTCTGCAGAAAGTCTTCAGGTGACACGAACACCTTTCAGGTTCACCTCTGAACAAATACGACTCCTGGTCAGCTATGTGGGGTTTCTTTAGGACGCCATAGGGAGGACCCAGGTCCAAACCCCAAGGGCAAAGCAGTAGAGGGCTTCCAGCAAGCCAAGGGAGTCCACCCCGTCTAGGGTCAACTCATTGCTTCCTTTTCCCTTGTGTCCCTCCTCAGGCTTGACAACTTGCTATTTATATCTTTGCCCTAACGATCCCCCCGCCCCGCGTCCTCCCCCCCAGCTTTAACCTCTTCCTTGCCAACCAGTGTTTGGAGTTTACATGAGAAGATTGTTTATGTTAAATAGCTTTGTAATAGTTTCCTCCTACACCACCTCCCTTCCTTCCCCAATAAAAAGCCCTACGTCGTGCTCGGTGAAGCCCGTAAACAAAGGAGGGGTTTGGAGACCCAACCAGGTTTTGGTGAACCCAGTGGGGAAATAATGTCTTTCTCGAAGGACGTTAATGCCTGAGCTCATAATAGTAGGAAACTAGTGTCCACCCTAAGTAAGGAATTGCCTACTTGCAGCTACCTAGCATGAAATACAGATGTCCATGCTGCAGGCCACAAGTCATTGTTGGATGTAGGGGGTTAACCTCGCATGTTTTCCTCACCGGTCTGGATGGCGTTGAGGGTAGCAAACCGATGCGTTTGCTAGGCTCCAAATACTTGAAGTTGTGATAAGTGAGCAGGGAAAAGGAGAGCACAAAAAGGCAGCAAGTGTTTTGAACTCACCTAGACTGATGAACAGAAGCAGAAGGCAATAAAAATCCATTAGCCTGACTGTTCCCTGCAGAGGAGAAACAGGCGCACAAAATCCAATTCATTATTCCCTTTCTTATTTAATGCTAAGTAAGTCATTGAACTTTACTACTTGATCTATCCATTTTCTTTAGTAGTAGGGCTGCAGGAAATCTTTCTCTTCTCAAAGGGGGTTTCAAGTTTCTCGCTGATATCATGTAAAAAATACTTGGAATGTATGAGTAAAAAATAACTGCATTTCAAAGGGAGCTTGAGCCATGCAGATAATGACAATTTTTCTCTTCTGAAGCACAGAACCAGGGAGCGGAGGTCCCTGGGAGCTCGGAGCACCATTGTTCTTCTTCCAGGCCGTTATCTGGAGACAGGCCCTGTGATAGACTCCGCTGAGGCCACCAAACGGATTATCTGCTCGGAGTGCTAATGGCATGCGTTTGACAACATCAACCGCTTAATTTATGAGGTGCCTCGTAATGCAAAGGCAAAGAAATCCATACCATGCAAAAGCCCAGGTACATCCGGTGCGATTAAAAAGCTTCTGATCAAAGCCCGACCTCCTCTACAACACAATTTTCTTAATTATGGCTATGTAGAAATATTTCACCTTCCTAAAAGGCACCTTAGCAGAGTTTGTACAGTGATGGCAGTGTTATATAATAAGAAATATATTAATGGAAGTTCTCCAGCACCGAAATTATTCCAGCCTTTTTATCACTGCATTCCTCGCTCCCACATGAGCGAAGTGCGCAGGAATAAAAGCAGTTAAACACCATCCGCCGGGAGACACGCACGATGGGGATTACTCACAAGTCACTAACAGCTCAGCGGTGCCCATCAGCATTGGGATCCACACAAAGACATTGTGCAAACAGAGATGCTTGTCCTGGGGAATTATTTTTCCACCGCCCGTGGCTCGTTGCCCTGTCACCCTCTCGCAGCTGGGGACAGCTTAGTCCTGTCACCCAGTACCTGAGTTGCTCTTTCAGCTCCCCTGGGCCAGATCTGTGCCAAAAGTTGAGGAGTCTGTCCCATGCTCTTCACTCTGTTATAGTTACACAGCGGATAATCAGACTTAAATCACGTTTTTCTTCTATCGCATGAATATTTGTACACAACTAAGGGTTTTTATCACTTTTCACATGCAATGAGAAGTTTGATAGCTTAGTCATTAAGCTTCTGAATATATATATGAGTAATATATATTCAGAGGGGCCCCTGAAGGGAGGGAAGGTTTAGGTAGTGAGTCCTGTTTTTCCAATGCAGGTCAGGCAAAACGACAGGCCAGAGGGTGCTGGGCTGCGTCTCAGCTTCTGCAGCATCACTGCCAGTTTGTGATCACAGCCGTGGATCCCAATCAGGGCTGCTACCAAATCTCAGCCCCATCACTCTGCACATTCCCATGCCCCTCGTGCCGCTACCCATGTTTGTGCAACCCACGTAGATCAGCTGAAACAAACCTTTTCTGAAAGGGCTGGTTTTCAGCCAGAGGAGCCCATTGCCCACATGGTTGTGCAGGCAGCAGAACCAGTCCGGGCAGCGGGACGTGCAACGGAGGGGAGAGTGCGAGCACCAGCTCTGGCTTGGACGGGCCAATGCTGAGAACTGCAGACAGTGCATTCACCCCGTCGCCAGCTAGCTAGGAACCACCTGGCAGTGCAACAGGAACAAAACCTCTCCCGCGGATGCTCTCGAGGCAGTTTAGAGCAGCGTTACAATACCTGTTGTTACTGGCAATTACTGCAGCAGCAGCTGCTTTGCACCAAATATTACATAAATCTCCAAAAAGCCCGAGCATTCGACGTGTGCTGATTCGTGAGCAGATTGGATGCTCCTGTGTCAGATCTGGGATTTTGTGTGCAGCCTGGGCACACTGGTGTTGTGGCTGTCCTAGTCCGGTGAGAGGAACCTGCCAGGGTACCAGCAATGGTACCAGGTCGGGAGGAGGGGTATGAGCAACAGGTCCCCCCATCACCTCTCCTGCCCCCCCCGCCTCTGCTGCCACACCGCAGCGAGGGCAGCTGCCTGCCAGGGAACGCATCCCACACCACACTGCGTGTCGTAAGCCAGCTAATTGAGATTTTATTTGACGGCTCCCCAGCGAGTATTTAGGGGAAGAACAGACAAACAAAACATCCCTCGCCAAAGGCGGGCTCTGCGAGCGGGCGAGCTGTTAAACAATGGGAGCTTTGTGGGACGTCTCCCAGTTTACCTGCTCCAGTCCAAGAGGAAGCGCTCCTCCCTCCACAGCACAATGGTGGGTCGGCAAGCCTCAGGGGGGGATGCAGGCTGGCACGCACCTTCATGCCACAGGCCGCCCCTGGAGCCCCCCCCATGCTTGGGCAGGTGAGGGGGGGCACGTTACACACCCAAACGGGAGCGGAGAGAGGGCGGTTGCGGGCACCGTGAGCTGTCCCTGGGGGTGGCCGGGGTGCACAGCACTTGCCCACCACCACTGTGGCTTGCACAGGGCACCAGCAGCATCTGTAACTCTTGCTGGACTGGTCAACGAAGGGCTCTTCAGCTGTACATGGAAACTTTAACCCTGAGTGTTGTTCTCCCTTCCCTGCTAGGAAATCCTGCCAGGGCCTTGTCCCAATTCCTTCTTCTTAACAAGCACTCTCTAAATTATGGCCACAAACCACTGTTTAAATTTTACCAGCTGGCAAATCTTTTGCCATGAGCTGTTGCGTTGCCCCTGCAGTTATTCCTTACAGTGGCAGGGTATTCTGCAGTCCCACTTTGAGGAAGGGCGGCCGACGGCCTCTGAGGGGGCTGCGGCATTCGCCTGGCCCTGCAGAATGTCTTGTTGGTAGCTGAAATATTTATACACCCAGCAGCTGCTGAGATATTGAGCTCTTCAGTGGCTCCGATTGCCTCTTTGGTATATACACTTAAATCTGCCTTTCAAAGCGTTGTGCCAATGAGCTTAAGACCAATTATCAAAATAATTTTGGTAGGAAGAAGTCTCAATATCATGGCTTCGAGAGAGCCATGGGCCAGGCATGCAAAGGCACATCACTGCCTAGAGACGCACCACAGTGGCTAATGGCTGGAGCAGTGAACTAGTAGAAAATCCTCATCTAATCTCATTAAGGACAACAGGATTTGGTGCATTACACAGGATCAGAAGGGAAAGGCACACCATTACGTCTGAGATGTGCTGCTAACCATGGCAATGGCAAAAGTCTGAGTAAGCTTCTGTTTCCTCCTCCAGGTTATGGACCTGGCCTGTCTGGACTCATTTCCCATTTGTTTGGTGCTTTTGCACCTTGGTGCTGCTGGTATTAATAACTCAGAGCATCAACCCTGGACGGAATGGGCACGATCAAACCCAGACACTGCCCAGTGTCTGGTACCATTCACATCTGGACGCAGACTGCTGCCGGAACACAGCCAAAAAACTCATGCTGCTGGGTGCTAAAACTGAGCAAGTAAACACCGCCACGAAAAACCCGGGCACCGAGCGGGCAGGCAGACAAAATGGCAGTCTGCGAAGCGAACATGCGTATCAAGCTGCCAGTTTTTGTGAACCAGGAAGCCGATCACCAGTTTACACAACAAACCCAAACACTTTTCCATTTCCAGCTCGGCGGGCCTGATTCTGCCGCTGGTGTTTGCAGGATGGAGCGATGACTCAGGGGAGCGGTGGGGCCTGCAGCTTGCACCAGCACGCCCGGCACAGCAGAGGTGGCGCGGGCGCACCCTGCACCCTGCAGCATCCGCCCCGCAGCAGTGCCACCCCTGGGGTGCCACGGGGCACAGAGGATGACGGCTCCAGGCTGGGGGAATGCTCCAGGTCCTGCAAAACTTGGCATAAGCTGGAGCCCCTCGGAGGGAAAGGGGGGATGCCAGGAGGGATGTGCATTTCCCAGGAGCCATGGATGGCCAGGGAGCAGTGCAGCTTTACATTGGCTCCTCAGGTGTGCTTTACTCTGCTGCTGTTATCCCAAAAGAGTAAGAAAAACTTTTAGGGATGTTCAGGGCATGTTTCAGCTGCCAGTCCCTTGCTGGCATGGTCCTGTATGGAAAGTGTTTTACATCTCACGCTTCTTAACCTGTGTTTCTACAGTGCATCTGCCTGGTGCATCCCTGTCCAAAATGGTTAGACATTCCCAGTAAAAGGCAACACCTGTAGTATGGTAAAAAATGTCCTGGTTTTTGCCATTTGCAATGACAAACTTGGGTTTGCTTGCCAGCATCACCTCTTTTATCCTTTTCCCATCTCGGTCACTTTTTCGAGCAGTTTGACAGCCTGAAGTTACGGACTTGCACAAATAAATCACCTGCTGTTACCACGGCTGCTCTTTGCAGATGGGCAGGCATACAAACACCTCAAATGAAAAGCATATTGATTTCTTCTGGGAGACGATTATCACAAATATTGTTGACCTTACATTATATGCAATTGTTTATATAAAGAGAAAGACCTCTTACTTCCTCCTGGGGCGTTTGGGAATTTGGCAGGCTCTGAAAGCGAGTCAGTGGTGCATAGGGTAACACTCGCTCCTCTGGGGGAGTGTGCTTAGCGCTATTGCAGGAGATCATATTAGCCCTTTTGACAGGATCAAACAGAAAGTTGCAGCTGAACAATGAGTTTTTAGGATGAAAAGTGAAATGTTAAGAAGGTGTGTACGTCTCTGTGAATTTGCTTCATTTTGCTCGTTGATGTGGCGGTAACAGAACTATTTTTAGGTATAATCCTTCAAACAGAACATGACTTCTCCTTTCTGATTAGTACAAAGCTGGCTGCTAGTCAAAGGATAATTATTTCCCAACACATCACCTAACACACACCAGCAAACAAAACACTCATTATTTGAGCTATCCAACGTTAACTGTTGTTCAGCAGTTAACATTTTCTTGACAGCTTTGAATAGGACTAATTGCTCCAGCTTCATTAGCAGAGGTCATTTACTGCTGCTAACAATACTTTTCTGGAGATACTCTCTCGTATAAGATTAGATTATCAGGTCAAATTCTGCTCCCCGTGGCAATGATGCCTGACCGCATTTGGCCTCAAGAAAGTCTGCCCTTTCAGTTCATAACTGCACCACTTCCAGCCCCACAGCTGATATATTACATAAAGGAAGTTAAGTGCACGCCACCGGACGGGAAATTACAATAAATTAGGAAAGTGTGCAGCACAAGGAAGATTTGCAGAATAGCCACTTAAAAGTTATTAATAAAACATCGACTGCAGATAGGGTTTAGGGGGAAAAAAAAGCTGATAAATAAGTCATCCTTATACTTGAAAACACGTGCATACCCGAAAGGGAAAGCGGCATTTGCAGACGAAATGGTGCGTGCTGCATCACGAACACATGGCTGATGCTGTCAAACGCTGCATGTGCCATGGGCACAGTTCAGATCACAATTTTAAGCCACATTTTTTGCACGCAGTTTCATTTGTTCATCAGTTACTGCTTGGAGCTACAGTCAGCCGATGCCGAGGGTCACCGTCTCAAAGTGCAGTGAATTTTCAGGAGTGCTTTGGGGCAGCTCTCACCGGTGGGGAGGTACTTCTACAGGCACTTCGACAGCCCGCTGTATGCCTGAGACATCCTTGACTTTCTTGAACAGACAGAAAACTGAAGCCAGGCTTTCTAGCCAATATATTCCCATCTAAGCACGTGGAGAGATGCAGCCTGCTTTCTAGAAGTGCTGAGCAAACACTGCTCACAGCGTGGCTGGCGCCTTTGAGAATCGGGCATCTTGCACATGGAAGTCTCAGGCACCTTGACAAATAATTTTCTCTGTGTGGATTTCTGTTTTACCTGTGTCTTTCTCTCCTGCAGGCCTGCGGCTCTCTGCTGTTACTTTCCTGCCCACGTACGTGTGCAGCCGCATGCCTACCACCTATACTTTTTGACTTGCAGCTCCAGTTGCTAATCCATGTCTGGTTTTCGTCAGAAAAAAATATTCATCCTGAGTGACTCATTGCCTCCAGAGTATTTCAGCTGCCCCGTAACACTTTTCAGAGTATCCTTCTTCTCCGTGGAGAACAGCCTGTTCTGAGCGTGATCCACGGCAGACTGCTCGCCAGCAGCCTCCCCTTCCTCGCACACGTGTGTGCCATATGTCCTGCTCTGTCCGCACCGTTACTGTCCCACCATCCTCTTTACACCGTGCAAGATGGCCTGGCATCCGCCATCCACACTGCCAGGTGGATTACCTTAGCTCTCTATGAAGGGACTCAACGTGCCAGCCTCCAGACGCTTCCAGCAGGTCCTTGACTGGCCAAAACTCAACAGCAGACAAATCCTCACCACTTTGCTCACACAGCTTGGCCCTGCTGAGGCCAGCAGGCAAAACTCATCCTACCTTTCCCCTTCTTCATGCCATTACACTTTTCCAGGGAAGCATGACCCAGTGCAGCTATTCGGCAGGAGAAGCGAAGCAAATTCTGGCCATAAATTTTCCACCTGAGGACCCTGTTGAGCCAAAATTTTAATCACTTTTTAAAGTCTAAGGACACGAGTGTTTGGATGGTTAAAATTAAGTATGTGAACTGATTTATGAGACAAAGACCCAAGTCCATCAGACCACTCCACCTGCGCAATGCCCATGCAGTAGGCAGGCACTGCTCTTCTCCAGGATGCAGCACCCTGCCGAGGACAAGGGCTCAGCAGCCACTTCAGCTCCCAGCCAGGCGCTGGGGCTGGATCCTGCCCTGCCCTACCTAGCAGGCAGGGACCCAGCCCTGCCCTCGCTCGCTGCAGTCCCCAGCACACAGGAGGAGGATGGCAGCGCTGCCTCCCCATCCCATTCCATCCCTTCACGACCCTGACATGCATAGCCAACACCTCGCCGCAGTCACTGGTGTCAGACGTCGCCGTTCCGTGCACCCTTTTGGTCTTGTTGCCTTTGCTGGAATCACAGACAAAACCAGATTTAAAAAAAAAAAGTCATTCAGTGGCAGAGCCTGCTTCACTTAGCACCTGACCTCATGCCACCCTGCCATTTCAAGGAGCCCATTTCACTATTACCAAGGGAGACCCAGCTCACATCAAACCCCAGTAACATCAATGGAAAAGTATTATGTACTTTCCTGGTGCCTTTATTTTGTCTTTGCATAAAAAGTGTAACTCCCCTCT